TACATCCATTCTACAATATGCGTATTTCCGGTTTGGTACCTTACTGACTTGTTTTGTTTGTGTGACTGCTATTGTGGAAAACGACTCGTGGAGTTGGAGCAGCTAGAAGAATGAGGTGTGCAAGATTGCTGGGATCCTTTTTCCAGCTGGTTCCCTGCTCTTTTTTGCCCTGATGTCCGTGTGTTGTTGCACAAACTCGCCCCCACTTCCTCATCGCCTTGGCTGTATCTAGACCCACAGCGAGTTCCTGATTGTCCATCCTGCGTTGTTGCGTGGAATAACATGGAGCAGACCATGCTTCATTATTGGGCATAAATCAAAAGTATCTGCGACAAGCTTACTGCGACACACTGCTGCTGGGAGTATAATCAGCCTTTCACTATCAGAGCAGCTGCTAAACACAATCACTACAACATATCTAAAGAGTAGGGTAGTATTGTAAAACATTTACTGCAATATACAAATAATGTTAACTAGTGGACAGCAGCTTATTTCCTACATGTTATGGTTATACTGATCGGTGAAGTATAAGTCTACCTTTTGGGTAAACGGTTTTTAATTGCTCTCATAAGGTGATTCATCCTCTCCATGTTTTATAGTAGCGCTCTAAAAACCAATCAGTCTAAAGTCCCAACAGTTACGCTAACAGAGCTTAGCATGTTTGGTACTTGTTTTCTGTCTTGTATGTCTTGTTTCTGTGTGAAAGCTTGCCAAGGAGTAAATACCATTTTACTAAAATTGACTCTTGCTCGAGCCCAGTCAAGATGTTATTTCCATTCCTCTTAGCAGCAAAGGTTTTATTTACCTTTTTATTCCGGCTCCTCCGTGTCATAAACCTTTAAAATCCAAAAGAGTTTTCGATGATGACCTGATGTAGCACAGTGAGAGACGTGTGGCTGTTGATACCTCTGGATTTACATTAGGCTTATTCAAAGCTAGGCCTTTTTTCCTCAGGAAAAGACTTAAGACTGCTACTGGGTCGGTGGCATTAAATGTGAAATTGTGGTTTTTCTGATCAGAGACAGAAGGAGAAATGAAAGACATCTCTTAAACCCTTAGATTACTATAACAGGGAGTAAGATGATGATATATTAAGGTAAAAGTGTTACCCAGTGCTGCTCTGATCAAGGTGAAGGGACTTTTACATCCTTAATGTATATCCATACAGAAACATTATGTTATTGGCTACAAATCAAGCAAGAAAAAAAAATTGACTTTTTAGAAAAATGTGGAGAAGACAGATCCTGAAATCTTCTAAATAGATGGTAGGCCACCAAGGGTAATTCAGTTCAATTCAGTTTATTTATTTATATAGCGCCAATTCACAACATAGGTCATCTAAAGGCACGTTAAAGAGACAATTTAACCAGATCATAAAGTCAAACTGATTCAAAGTTTTCTATCTAATTACTAAAGAAGTTTTCCAGAGTGCTCTATCCAAGCATATCCATAGACAGGTTGTGTGAAATGAAAAGGTGGAGAAAGAAAGCATTACCAGCAGCAAGTTTAAAGTTGTTTCCTAATCATGGATGGAGTCAGAACTTCAAGTCTTTCCATAGATGTATGCTGAGTTATGGGCTACAGCTATTTTAATTCTGTTGTTCAGAAAGTCCTGAACCAGGAACAACAGAAGCATCTAACATGAACTCAACTTAAAAAATAAAATGACTTTGTCAGTGCTTCCAACTGCCTATTGTCAGGAAAAAAAATAATTCTGTATTTTATTAGAGAGTTTGGAGGAAGAGTGAAGAGGCTCAGAATCTGCTTGAAGTCCTCTACAGTAAAAGATGATTTAGCCATTAACTAGGAGATTATAAAGTACTTAATGCTTCCTTTCTGGAAATAAGGGTCATGGAAATGCAGGACATTGAATAAACATGTTGCAGATGAGCTAAAAGCCACTACTAAAGCAGCCGGGGCTTGTTTGACACCTTAGCAGTTCCACAGTTTGATTGTTGCCATTCCATTCTGCATCGTCAAGGTGATATATATATATATATATATATATATATATATATATATATATATATATATATATATATATATATATATATATATATATATATAAACTATGTAAATATTGTACAAATGCTATACAGTATACTTTTGTACTTATATCATGTTTTGATTTGAGAATTTGGCAATACTTTTTGTTAAATTCTTCAGCTATATTGTGTCATTATGAAATTAAGCATAATTTTTTTTTCTACCTGTAATGAATTCATATATGAGTTTCAGTTTTTTTACACTTTCTTATTGCTATAAAATGTTTTCATGATTTTAAAATGTGCAGAGATGCACCTGTATTTGACAGAAACCCAAACTGGAACAATTGCTAGACGGAAATAAAAGCAGGTGACTGGGGGAAGATAGGGTGAAAATCCAGCCCTGTTCCAGACTTAAACCTGCAGACAGGTTCCAGTCTTCCCAAAATGCCTTGTTGAGCTTTAAAGGCAGAATAATTATAAAAGAGCTGCAGAGGAAAGTTGCAGAGGCAAACCACAAAACCAGATCAACTGAACGGCAACGGAGCATTCCACATTTAGACGAGACGTCTGTCTTGTAGCTCTTGGGCATCTTTCTGAGACAAATTACTTTCTGTAGTCAATAGCCTGTAATTAAAATATACCCACTTGATGGAGAGAGAGCAGTGTCTTTCTATTTAGTTATGGGTTGGAAAGATTAATTCTGGGGTGTATAACCCTTGTAATTTTCCAAGAGCTGTTTATTGTTTTCACAGTTGGAACAAAAAAAAAAAAGTGCAGATGATTAAAAGTCTCAGCTCAAGGTCGGCTTTGATTTGTTTACACTTAACACATGTGTGTTTCAGCGCTTTATCAGGCCGCCTTTATGCTTTGGAAACATAGATGCACATTAACAATTTGCATTTGGAAAGCTCTCAAACGTCTAATAAAGCTGACTGTGTTTGAAAGCTAAAGGTCAGGGTTTGTTGGGTTTAAATAAAAAGAGTTGGTGCAGTTAGCCTGAAGGCAACAAATGAAAAATAAAGTCTGAAAAGAGCCTTAAAAAGAGAGGAGGGAGGGGGGGTCAACATTAGATGCCCTCTGCTTCTACAGTACTCTGCAAAAATGAGGCTCACCGGCCCCCTGGTGGTGACAGTTGGACTCACACCCAAATGAATGGTTGCATTAATCAGAGGCTGCATTCAAAATCACCAGCTGTTGTCATCCGCGATGAAAACATCCCCAACTTAGCATGAATTTATAATTACGCAGAAAGCAAATCTGAATCTCTTTACTGGAACTTTTCAATTCCCATTTAGAGTCTCCCAGGAGAAAGAGCTGGTGTGAATCATTCACAGAGATTCAGTGTGTGTGAGGGAGATAAGATTCTTTCTTTTTTTCTTGTTTTCTTCCCTTTTAATGCAGATCTCACATACTTCATAGTGAAACTTTTTGTGGAGTCCCAAAACCACAACAAATGAACTTTTCGGAGAACTATTTGCACACATCAGTTACTATAAGGACTCCAGAGTCCCTGCATCTCCTCTGATAAATAATCTCAGCATAAGAATAAAAAAAGTAAATTCATTTCAACAATGTCCAGACTAAACCATCTAAGTTTATTATAAACCTCCCCACTCCTCCCATTCTAAATTTAACACTGAGTGTAAATGAAGTGTAAATGTAAAAACGGATCAGTGAGTTGTTTGTGCTAGAAAACACGCACGTATTGGAAGTAAACAGCTGCGTTACCTGTGGGCTCCTGCACACCTGCTACTGCAGAGCAGTTGGCCTGTGCACAGATGCAAACTGTCAATCATTTTTTTTTCCACGCAAAAAAAAAAAAAAAAAAAAAAAAATCCACGCACACACACTGGAATATGCATAAAAGTTCTAATGCGTGGCACAAATTAGAAAACAAATACAGTGAATGCGCAGACTTATTAATATGGGATAAACACAGAGAGCAGAGGAAGCCCAGCCAACGCACAATTATTCCATTCATGCACAAATAATTTACCTTTAAAAAGTCTTTAAACCACATCAAAAATATTATGGTGCATAAAATCTGAATAAAAATCAGGGGGAAAAAATTTGAGTTTAATAAATCTAAAATGCTCTAAAAAAGGACAATTTCATTTATAAGAACCCGAAAGTATTAAAAATCCCCACCATTTGCAGAAGGTGAACCAAATAAAGTCTTTGAATTTGTTTTATTTTTCCGAAATCGGCCCATTCACAGTTATAGTATAAATTACAATTATTTACCTAATCTGTTCTCTGCGTCTTCTGGTTAATAATAGTCTTTTAAAATAAAATTAAAATAAATAAACTTAGATATGTGCGTAATAAACATTGGATTTTTCTGCTCCTATCTAATTAATAAGGAATTCCTATTAGATTATCTTTTTTTTTTTTTTTTTCGCATGGCCCTGTGTGTTTGAGGAAAATAGACAACAGCTGATAAACTCAGCAACGACGCATTAGAAATGTTTCCTGCAGAATGAACCGAATAATAATCAGGATATTTTCCTATTAAATGCTTTGTTCAATTAGCGAAATTAATGAGATTAAAACGGGCAACAAGTATTTGAGATAGCATTTTTATTTATCACTGAAAAGTCATTTTTACGCACTTTTATACTATTTCCTGCAGCACTCCTTCAGCCGGTGATGACTGAGGGTTTCGCTCAGGTGTGCGCAAAAAGGAAAAGAAAGCGCAGCGCAGCGAACTGCGCGCACTCCGCTGTTTATCAGCCTTTTGTTTTTATTCACTTCTTTTTCGTTGTTTTTTCAACCTTCCACCCCTCCTTGACATGCGAAGGTGTAGCGTGTAAATGTGAGAGTGAACGTGAGTGAATGAGTGAGTGAGTGCGCTCTCCTGGCGCGCTCCGCTCTCTCTCCCCTCCGCGCGTCCCCGGATACCAAACTGGGGCAATGAGACGAGCCGCGCCGCAGCTGGCAAATCATCGATTTGAGCATCATGCAAACGGGGAGGGGCGCTTCTTTTACCTGCCACCCCTTCATCTCAAAGCAGCCCTCCTTCCTCACATGCCGCCACTCTTCTCTCCTCTCCTCCACTTCACCCACGCTGCCCGCAGCGCACGGTTGTTTGCGTTTCCAGCGCTCCGTGTGCGCTCCTTCAACTTCAACCTCTCCCCGCCTGTGCGGTCTCCACAAGACCACCCCCTCCTCCACCTTCACCTCCTCCTCTTCCTCTTTCTCCTCCTCATCCGTCGGACTTTTGACTTTTCAGAGCAGCTTTTCCTCCCACAGAGCAGTCGCCTATTTTTGGATCTCTCGCAGTGGAGCGCTGAAACGGAGAGGCTGTTCAACTTTTGATGGAAAACAGGAGGTCGAGCGGCTGCTGACTTTAAAGGTACGGTCCCTCATAGCCGCACATGGCCATCCTCAGCCGGTCCGGGGTCATTTAAAGTTTAACTAAAATCAAATAATCATATAATAACAAGCGTTATCAACGTCTGCACCCTTAAGGACATTATATAATCACAATTTTCATCCAAAATCTATAATATTTTTAATAAAAAAGTCACCAAGAACGTTTATTTTTGATAATATCATTTATATATGCTGGTAAAAGTCTGAGGCTATTTAAAAGAGGACAAGAGGAGGAGTAAAAAGTGAAATAAAAACTAATTAAGATGATATTTTCTTATATCAGTCGTAGAGTTGTTGAATGCAGGAAACCTGTTAAAGTTGGACAAAGTTGCTCCGCTTGTGCAAATGTTGCACACCTGTCACCTCCAGCTCCCTTCTTGCTTTGAAAGACATTTAAAAATCTTTTCTTCTTTAGTCAGTGTCTGACCTCAGGCCCAAAGGTCTATTTCTTATTTGAGTTTGATCTTTATAATCTTTTCCACATAAATAATGCAGATTCTCCTGCTGTTTAAGAGGTCTAAACTTTTGCTCTTAATCCATAAAACAGGGATGCTACTTTTATACAATCAAGTCGATTTAAAAAACTAAGGATGTTTTCTGGTAAATCGTCAAGAAAAAAGCAAATATGTGCAAGAACAAACAGATAAACATTTATAAATGTGTTGAAGTTTAATAACAGATGCACCAAGAGAACAATGACAAATAAGTATGATAAAGGAGGTTGTGTTTGTGGAACATCTGGATGCAGATATAGAAAAGGCGTGCAAAAGCAAAGCTGCTTAGATGCTTTTTAAAATGATTTTATTTTTAACCTAATAAAGTTACAGTAAGCTTTGTGCATCTTAGACTCACCTCATTTCCTCTCTGCTATCACTTTCTCTTGACCGCTGTATGATCAAAACTTTTTTTTTAAAAGTTTTATTTATGCCATAGTTCAAGTTAGAGAGCCTCTTCTTGTTTTTCAGCTTTACTTGGTTTCAGGCCGTCCAGTTAGATGCAGGTTGAGGATATAGAGATGATGCCTCTTCTCTGTCACTGTACCGATGAAATAACAACCAGAACAATGTGCAGGTTGTGTGTTTTTTTTTAACAGAGAACACACAGAGCGATGTAGGGGGAGCGTGTGTTGTTGTCTCTGTCATGCGTGGGCACCTATGTGGTCTGCCTCCTTTTAAACGTCTCACTCTCTGCTCCTGTAGAAAAAAAAAATAGCTGACATTTCACACAGGCAGTGGCTCGGCCACTGGCTTAATCAAGATCGTTCATAAATAGACGTCAGCAGAAATGCAGGTATGACCTGATGACTCATAGACCTGAGATGTGTCACTCAGCTCAGATCGAGTTATTAGTTGGGGATTTTCTTGAAATAATCATGCAAAACAATTGTGCACCGCTGAGACGAAGCTTGGCACTTTCTTTTGCATCTGAGAAAACAGGTTATGGCAAAGAACCGGTGATTTTTCTCCTTTTATCTTTGCAGATCTCTGGCAGCTCAAGGTGCTGTGGCTTATCTGGTCAGTACTGTTGAGAGCAGCTACTCACACACATACACCGACAAAAACAGCCCTTTTCCTGTCTCGGGCTTGCCATGTGTCACTTCTTGTAACAAAGTCCTCAAGAAACAAAAGTTCTCAGTATTACTCCTCGGCTTTGAGAGAGCTCCTCTACAACCATTGTTTATCAGTTTGTGGTCATGAAAGTGGCACAAAAAAGACATCTCTTTCTTTCTCATACACAAATACAGACATGTCCTCAGGCGAGCACATCAACATATTTCATGAAATCTGTAAACTTGTTTGGCAGGAATGATAAGAATCAGAACACGAGGATGGCTGAACATGACTGCTAGGTCACAACGGCGCAGCGGCAGAGAGTAAAACATCTGTCATAGCTTATTAACCGTGTGATGAAATCCCGTTTCTGTTCTTACGATAACCCCTCTGTGATTTACAGTCAGCACAATGATCTCGGAAAACAATTATGGGGTTTCCACCTTTCTTCTTTTAACTCGCAGGTATAACCTTTTACACTGGTTTGGTTTTATTTTCATTCCGACTAATCGAAACCAGAACTCGCTGCTTTTACTGTACCTTTGCAGTGTATGACCAGGAAGTCAGTTTGTGATGTGCACAGAGACAGCTCTGCAGCAGTAATCCCAAGCTGTGTTTGTAATCGGTTCAGTCCTGCACGGACAGTGTTCTTTGGGAATAATCTGATGGTTGCCGAGCTCCAGAGAGCACAAGAGGAGACGGCAAAGTCGTTCCCATGAACACAAGGGACCAATTAGTGTAAGGGAAGAAAAAAATAACTATTTCTTGTGTTTATCTTTTATTTTGGTTGCTTCTGATGCACAATCTATTACTAAATAGCAGCTAGAAGTAAAGATACAATAATGAGGATTTTTCCCAGTATGGATTTCAATTTTTTCTTTGAGGTCTGACCTCCTATTTTTAAATCTGAGCAAATCATAAAAAATAGGAAAACTGTAACTGATGTAAATGTATTTGAGTTTAATATAATAGACCTGTTCATCGTTAGCGATTAAAAGTATAATTTCTATAAAGGAAACATCAGCAGACTTTCCATTTGTAGATGATATTTAATATATAGAAAGAAAAAAAAATAAGTTTGCGCCTGTTAAAGTGCCTAAAAATTAGAGACACCCTAAACGGGCCATCCAGGCCGTCTTTTTTCCAATTTTCTGTGAGGTCTCACCTGACAGTTTCAATTATGATCAGATAAGAGACGAGCAAAATCCTTCAGATCTAAAAATATTGTCACTTGTTTATATTCCAAGAGTTAAAGTGAAGGGATTAAAAAATCCTATGCATTAAAACGAATCTAATATTCATTTGTTTTATCAGTTTATACATGTTTATGCATTTATAGATAGAAAATCTTTGCTCTAATGTGTCTGACCTGTGGCTCAGCAACAGCTCAAAGAGATTCACATGTTTTTTATCTATATGCAATCATCCAAGCATGCATATCTAACCTTTGGCCGAGTCTTCTTGAACTACAAAACAGTGCATAAAAGTGCAAAGCTGCTGGTAGTGATGTGTGAAATATTCACAGTTTTTTTTTTGTCTGATGCAGTGTTTGAGTAAAAAAAAAAAGATTTCTTTCATTATATATATATATAAAAAAAGATGATCCAGAACTAATTTTAATTCAAGTAATTAGTGCATCTCAATCTAAAAGGATATGTATTTTTTAAAAGAAAAAAATATTAACCAAATCACCCATTTCCGTCACTCTCTTTATCTCTAACTGAGACTTTTCCTGAAATTCCTGCAGAAAAACGTGTTCTCCTTCATCTCTCTGGTGTTTGCGCAGATTTTAGAGCTGAGGCTGATATCTCATCTAAAACCATTAATCGTCCTTCTTTGCCACCTCGATAATTATCGCTGTGGCAAAATAACAGCTCAGCAAACAGTGAAATTATACCTGCGGTAGGGAGTGAAGTAAATACCTGTTTTAGCCGCCAGCAAGTGTATTTATTAGACTGTCGCCAGTAAATAAGAGGCCTGTCTCGTTTCTTTTTTTTTTTCATGTGTGGCTCTTTGGGGATTCGGCGTGTGCACGCTCCTCAGTGCTCTGTAAAACTACTCTGTCAGACTGCTAATAGAGGAGAAAGATAACAATGATTTTCTTCCCACAAACCTCATCTATGGCATGTTGCAGCTAGTTTGTAAAGAAGGAAAAAAAAACTGGGCAAGTTAACTGTGATTGCTGCATTCCTGGACTCAAATATATGAAAGGTAACCCCCCCCCCAACCATTTGTGCTGTCAGTTACAGATGTGCCACCCTGGTTGTAGACTCAGAAGCTGCAGCTCATTTAGTGAAACTTCTTAGTAGGAATCATAAAAAGACAGTAAAAAGGGGGGGTTGCATTGTTGTAGCATGTTTAATTGCATTTATTTTGGTATGTTTTGCATACTGTTGATCCAGATTCCTTAGCTTGCTGATAAAAGCCTGACATTGTCTCTGCGTCCTCAGAATGGGCTTAGCGAGTCCTGCTCAGGGTCCGTCATCTCCGTTTCGTCACGCTCCTCCAAAGTGACATTCCTCCTGCTGGCTTCTTTTCATTCTACTTCTTATTTCCTGCAATTAAAGGATGTGTGCATGCAAGTTTTTCATGATTCAAATCACATTACACGTCCGTCCCACCATATAGATTTTCTGGGTTTTTTTTTTTTTTTTTTGCACATCTTCTTTTGTTGTGGCGCTTGTCTTTATCCAATCTGTGTAGGTTTTTTTTCCTGAACCCTTTGTTTGGAAGAGGAAGGGAAAAAAAATAAATAAGGAGAGCGATTTGGAGGAAAGCGCATCCCGCTAAGATCAGGTTGTTAATACCCACCCACGTACCCCAATGAAACAATTTCAACACACTGTATTCTCTCCGCCTGACACACACACTTTGCTTTAACAACTGTTTTGTTCGTCAGGCGATGGATGATTTATCCTTTGACAAGGGATTAAATCTGCACAGAAAAATATGCAGATAAAGAGGCACATCTTTTAGAAAGAGCCTCTTATTAGGAGCAGTTTGCCTTCATTTCCATGCAGATCCACTTCTTGGATCACCTGCAACCCTTTTTCCTCAGGATTGCTCTGTTTAAAAAAAAAAAAGTCCCCAGCATGACATGTTGACCTTCATCACCCCTCGCTCACAAAGCCATCTCCTTATCCTCCATCTCACGCACACAAACACTCCTGTCTAGCTGGCTCTATTAATTGTTTATTTGTTGCGATCCACGAGACAGAAATTAGAGTTTAATTATTCGGTCATGTGAAGGCCGGACCGTCCAGGCTGCAGTGGCAGAAAAGTAATTTTCTTTTAAAGAAACTGCTCCGCCTCTGATGCCTGTTGATTGTCTGGCAGCTAATTGGTTCTGTAATGTAATAAAGGAAGAGCTGAGAGTTGGGCTGATAAACAGGGTGACGAAGGGAGAACAAGTTTAGGACACAGGTTGATG